CATACAACTTCCTTTCGCGTAACGCCCGCAGCATAACTCTAAGAGGTTTTACATACTCGCTCTGGTTGCCATACAATACTATTATTTCATAAACAAACAATTACAAATTGATCCCAATACGAATGAAATATTCTGTTCATAAGCGATCCATAGATACCATTGGTGCTCAATCGGCCAAACCAACATAACCCAAAAACTCATAATGCCCATGACTTGTTCTAACGCAGTTTTCGTCACACCTGCTTCTCTTACCTTAAGCTTGTGATCTAAATTTTAGGAATGCTGAGGCACCTTTAAGCTGTTTCAACAATTCGCCTATACAAGACAGTAAATATATGTTTTGCATCATCACACTATTTCAACTGTACATAATCGATACACAACCTCATAGTACCATCTTTTTTTCTCAATGACACTGGTGTGCCCCCACAATGTCACACCAAGTCTGATGTAACCTTAACCAACTAATTCTTGCAATTTCCTCTTCAATCCTCTTAATCTTGAGGTAGACAGTAAACCGATTCTCACTCAATTTCTATTTCACCATGTGATCTTTTAAAACATCCGATCTTACTAATTTCTTCTTTTTCCCTTATGCTTTGCTTTCCGGTAGTATCTTGAGTTTCAAATTCTTTAAACATGCGCATTCTGCCACCTCGATGCATGACTTTCTATAATATAATGCGTATCACACATTCTTTAAATGAACTGTAATGCATGTACTTCTCATCTAATGCAGGACCCTTTTTATCCTGTCTCTGATACCAAACTGACACGACCCGTCCCAAACACCTACTAATCTTAGAACGAGTCGCGCCGACCACAGAACCCGACTAACTACGAAGTTAGTGGTCAACTTCTTTCTTTCATTTGACCTGAACTTTGACTAACAACTCCGAATGGATGCACAATAAAATATAAATCTTAACCAAACAACCATTGAATTTCTCTTTCTTTCACCTTCTCACGTGATTTCCCCTTTCTTTTACCAATTCATTTTTACTTTTCTCAATTAAATTCTATTCAAAAATTCCTCTCCCTCTCTTCCCAAAAACTATTCATCTTCTTCCTCTTTCTTCTCCAAAACCCACAGATTTTCTTCTTTTCTTCCATCCTCTTTCTCTGTTTTTCTTTCTTTTTCTTCAACCAAGAACCACAATTTTAACCTCAAATAACTTGTCCTTCACAAAACCCACAAATGAAAGGAGTCTATTTTCGATAATCTCATGGTTTAAGACACTGAAACTTACCCAAAAACAAGCTTCAAAAACTCCAACCGGTTAAAAAAAAACTCTTCCTTCCTCCTTAGCCGTACACCACCTTYGATTTCTTTCTCTTCCCTGTTCATTCTTCTTCTCCTACGTTGTCTCTCTCTTTTCTTCACACTTCTTTATTTTCTTTCTTTTTCCGTTCTTATGCTTTCTCTCTCTTTATTTTTATTTATTCTTTTCCTTCCCCTCCTTTTCTTTTCTTTTTAAAACACCTGTCACCCACCTTCATTAATCAACAACACACACGTGCCTTTCTAAAAAAAAAACTTTCATTTCTTTCATTTCTTTTTTTTACGAAATTACCAAAATGCGCTTCCAACTAAAATTCCAATTTTTTTTCTTTTTACCTTTTTTTTTGTTTTTCACTTTGAAACGGTCCTTACAGTAATAGGGCAGAGTTGATTAGACAAGCAAAACTCATTATTTGGGATGAAGCACCTATGACAAAAAAAAGTAACAATAGAAGCTGTTGATAGAACATTTCGAGATATAATGGAAAATTCAAAACCATTTGGTGGAAAGATTGTTGTCTTTGGAGGGGATTTCCGACAAGTACTTCCTGTTCTCACACGGGCGACACGACAACAAACCATTCATGAAAGCTTGGTAAAGTCATACCTTTGGAAGCAAATGGAAAAATTACAGTTGAAAAAAATATGCGAGCTCAGAATGACTACCAATTTGCAGAGTATTTATTAAAGATTGGGAATGGAACTGAACCATCAATAGTTGAAGACTATGTTCGCCTACCAAAAGATAGTGTCATTATAGATGAAGGTCATGAAGATTTAGTATTAAAATTACTGAATATTGTTTATCCTGATCTCCCACAAAATGCAATGTCAGCTGAATATATAACAAATTGAGCGATTCTTTCGACCACAAATGAGTATGTTGATGAGATCAATAATAAAATGATTCGCCTATTTCTTGGAAACATAGAAGAGTTCATGAGTTTTGACGAGGCAATTGATGACACACATAATTACTATCAAAAAGAATTTCTCAATTCATTATTGCCCAATGGTATTCCTCCTCACAAATTGATGCTAAAAATAAATGGTCCGATCATACTTTTAAGAAACTTAGATCCATCTAATGGTCTATGTAATGGAACTAGAATGGTTTGTCGGAAATTTCAAAAGAACGTCATTTATGCAGAAATCACATCTGGCAAACATGTAGGAAAACAAATCTTCCTCCCACGTATACCAATGAGCCCGGAAAATGACGAAGGATATCCATTCAAATTCAAAAGAAAACAATTTCCAATTCGACTATGTTTTGCCATGACTATAATAAAGCTCAAGGACAAATGATTCCCAATGTGGGAATTTATCTTCCTCAACATGTTTTTTCCCATGGACAATTGTATGTCGCAGAAGACATTTCTACAGCAACAACAAAGGTATTGGTGAAATCAGATGATCGATTGACAAAAAATATTGTATATAAGGAAGTTTTGACTTTGTAAGAAAATTTAATAAACTTTCTTTCTTTTTTTTTTAATTATTTTTATTTTGTCATTTTTACCTATAAAATTATTTGATATAATTAAAAGACAATATTTTATACCATATGTCACATCTTCATTTCTATCCATTGTTTATCCTACAATGAAAACTCGAGTTTCAAAAATTAATAATAGTATGTTGAAAATATAACCTAAAAAACAGATATGCACTACGAAATAAATGAAATTAAAAAAATAAGCTTGTTATTGAAAAAGATATTTTATGTAAACACACCTACAAATGACTAATATATAACTTTTTTTAGAAAAGAAAAATGTACAACATTTTTTAAAGGTTAAATTGTAGTTGTTACAGGTAATTTAACATTCCATATTTTTAAATAAAAATAACGTGCAACGCACGTGGTAAGTACTAGTATTATATAACTAACTGTTTCTTAAATCTCATATAGTGAAGTGTTGCTAATTTGAGAATGAAAGAGAAATTAAGTGGAAACTTTTGTTGGACACAATTGTCCCTTGTCCCAGCTGATGTTTTAAAAATGTAAAACAATATTCTTGATTCCCATCCCGTGATGGATTAATCAATTAAATAATGTTGGGAAAGAGAATATCAAGTAAGTCACGACACTCACACACTCCCTCTTGGTCTAATTTGAAACATCGCGCCACCTCTCTACCTCAATATAATGACGTTAGTAATTGGTTCATACTTTTTGTCACGAATCACCCAAAATAATAATAATAAAAGAAAAAAAATTTTGTAACAACTAAATCTTCTCTTCATTATCATTCAAAAATTACCAACTCTTTATTTCTCTCTCTCAATTGTTAATATTTAGTGGTAGCAAAAACAAGATAGATCATTTTCCATGCATCATGAATTTGCTTCCCTCTAAAAATCCTATTAACACTAAAAAGGTACGATTTTTTGAAATTTTTTTTATGAGTTAATTGTACTTGAAAGCGTTTTTCTACAAAATTTTAAAATATTTTACGAGTTAAGTGTTTTTATAACTCTTATTTATTTTAAAAATTTATTTATTCACTTAAAGTGCTACACTCAAAAAGCTACTACAACTTACTCGAGTCGGTAATTGACATATATCTCTAACCAAGAGGTTGTGAGTTCGATTCCCCACCCTCATATGTTGTACTAAACAAAACTTGCTCGAATCTATATTTAGATCCCAAATATGACTTTTATATGGGCAAAGTAGAATTCCTCTCTTTTCTCTCACCATGCTTTTATCACTCTTAATCATAAGGGCAAAGTAGAATTTCTCTCTCACTCTATCATTTGTTTGTTTTTTTGTTTTTCGCTTTTTTAATGCACATTGTAAGTTACATGCATGTAACTTGTAAGTAGTTGTTAGAAGTGTCGTCACTTGTAAGTAGTTGTTGTAAGTTACATGCATGTAACTTGTAAGTATAAATCCATTATGTTTGGCATCTCAACCTAACAAGTGTACATTTTTAAGCCATCAAATCAATTATGACCAGCAAATTCCAAAATTGACCCTCTTAATTTTGGGTTATTCATGTCAAGGACAACGGTATCTTCGTATTCGCTCCCAAGTATCTCTACAATGATATGATATTGTTTGTTGGATATAATTTTTGCGATTTTACTTTTAGTTTAACCTAAAAAAAACTCACACCAATAGAGATAGTTGTCTTCACTTACATACTATCGATCACTCCCTCTCCTAGTTAATGTGAGATTTTATTTGCATTCCCTTGCAAACTGAACAATTCATCTTCTTCATGCCTAGCTTCAAAATTCAATATCCTCGTGTGATATCGCAGATTCCAATAATAATCCAACACTTCCAATAATAATCCAACACTTAATTCATTACATGGGAATTAGTTTACTCCTAAATTTCATCATGCATCTCAAGTAGTTTTTTTTTTGTCTAAACTCGCATAATGTTTGTAAAAATAATTTTCAACTCTAACATGTATAAATTAGACACACTCAATTATTAAAGAAAAGTTTTAAAGCTCAAAAAATCACGTGTAGATATCTCATTTTCCAAATTTCTGCAATCCTTCAAGCAGCAGCCTCTGCATGAGACGTAGTCAACATGATTTTTGATGCTGATTGGAGATAAAACCTTAAAACTTTTTTTTTTTTTCCTACCGACGCCAGCTAGAAATCTTTCACTAAATTCTCTCTTTCTCTCTTCCTATTCCATATATATATATATATATTATATGTATGTAGTGGCTGCATCCGAATTGAAAAGAAAATGGCCACTTCAAATATTGCAGCCTCTTGCAAAATGGCCATGATATTGTCGTTGGCTCTGATGGGGGCTTTTGGCATGCCAGCGGCAGGCAGCTCCTCAGCTCAACTCTCCACAAACTTTTACCGCCGAAACTGCCCTCAGCTCCTCTCCACTGTCAAATCCATCCTTAAATCTCATATCTCGAAGGAACGCCGCATGGGAGCTTCACTCCTCTGTCTCCACTTCCACGACTGCTTCGTCAACGTAAACTCTCTCTCAACTCTCTAAACATACGATATTATGATATTGTCAACTTTAGATTTAAAGATGTTGTACTATGAGGACAGGGGTGCGATGGATCGGTGCTCCTAGAGGACAGAGGGTGGTTCAGAGGGGAGCATACCGCAGCTCCCAACAACAATTCACTCAGAGGTTTCAATGTGATTGATAAGATTAAGTCTAGAGTTGAGAAGCTGTGTCTTGGCGTGGTGTCGTGTGTTGACATCCTGACGATCGCTGCTCGTGATTCGGTTGCACTTGTAAGTTACGTTGTTTTTCAACGTTCGTAAGTGTAATTATATAAGGCACATGCAGGTGCATATATGAGTTGTTGGAGTAGTATTTGAATGAGTTGATGTTGTTACTCTGTAGCTGGGAGGGCCCCATTGGGACGTTAAACTTGGGCGAAGAGACTCCAAAACAGCAAGCTTTTCTGATGCCAACAGCGGAGTCCTTCCTGCACCCTCCTCCCCTCTCTCCCTTCTCATCTCAAGCTTTAAAGATCAGGGCCTTTCCATCACTGGCTTGGTTGCTTTGTCCGGTGTGTAGCTCCACTAAAAATATATTGGAAAATACTTTAGCTCGTTACCACCATTAAATATCTAGCAACTCATTATTTAAAGAAATTTTTTTTTTGTTTTTGCATTTCTCTATTTTACCAAACGATTGTGCTTGGATTTACAAACAAAAGTATATGTAAAAAAATTTTAATGTGGGTGATTCAAAGTATGTTTGAGAGTGATTTTCATAGGACTAGAATCACGATTTGTCATAGATTACTTTTGTTTAAAACAATGTTATTTGGAAAAAGGATTAAAATTGATTAAAGGTGATTTTTGTTGAGATGAATCCACTTTTAATTATATGCTCAATCACTTCAAACTAAACATTAAATATTTTTACCAAACATTTTAATTATAATTAAATATCTTTTTCTAAAATCACACTCGTTTTATTAGGTGCGCATACAATTGGAGTGGCAAGATGCGGGACGTTCAGAAGTCGTATATACGAAGGGAGAAATATTGATGGTTTATTTGCAAAGAAGAGACAGCAGCAATGTCCGAGAAGGGAGGGGTCAGGCGACAACAATCTCGCTCCCTTCGACATCCAAACGCCCATGCTTTTCGACAACAACTACTTCGGCAACCTTATTAAGAAGAAGGGTCTGCTCCACTCCGACCAGGTGGTGTTCTCCGGTGGGCCCACCGCATCTCTGGTCAGAAAGTACAGCACAACCAGTGGGGCTTTCAATCGGGACTTTGTTAGAGCCATGATTAAGATGGGAGATATCAAACCCCTCACTGGCTCCAAGGGAGAGATTAGAAAAGTGTGTGGGAAGCCCAATTAACATCTAGCTACCAGATGATCCATCTTTTTTTTTTCTTCAAGTGGGAAATTATGTAAGTTGTAATTTTCAAAATAACATGAGTCGTCACATGATCATGATCTATTATTGTTAATTGATAAAATAATAATTCAATTTCAAGATCTCTTATTTTAATACGTTGAATTAGCGTTTCAAACCTAAAAGTTTTTAATAATTGGGGTATATTTTAAAGATTTACAATATTTTCTTGATATTTAAAACGAGAGCAAATCGCTCGAGGAGTTACAAAAGGGATGGCCAATTCGAGAGGGTCGTGTTCTCTCTGCCCAAAATACTRTAGACATGAAACAAAAAGCATACTCTACTCGTAGGTCTCTCTACCTTTTAATTCCCCCTTTTGTTGACACACCATCCCTCCACCCCCAAACTAACTAATACTTGTTTTTTCCAAAAATACCCCTAACAGCCAAACGTCCCCTTATTTCCTTATTTCGCCCTTCCTAATGTAAAATTTTACAATCGGTAGCCTAACAACACCCTCCCCATTCAACACCACCTTGTCCTCGAGGTGGAAGTTAGAAAACTACTTACTAAGTTCTTCCACAGGCTCATCTTCCGGCAGTCCCTTCCAACGGACGAGAGCTTCCTATGTTCCTGTTGCCATGTTCACCTTGGTCCCACACACTTCTTTTGGTTCTGTAATCAGCTCGAATTCATTAGTAAGTTGAGGGGCTGTCTGCATAACTGCCCCCCACATCTTCAACTGCCTTTTTTAGTTGAGATGTATGGAAGATCGGGTGGATACTTATTTCTAGTGGTAGATCCAGCTTATACGCCATTGCACCAATCTTCTGAAGGATCTTATACAGCCCAAATAACTTAGGTTTGAGTTTTTCATTCCTATGCTTAATGAGGAAACTATATCGATAGGGTCTAGTCTTGAGGTATACCTTATCCCATACTTCCAATTCCACCTCTCTCTGATTGCGATCAACATACTTCTTCATTCTATTTTGAGTTTGGTACAGATGGCCCTTGAGGATTTTCAACATCGTATCACAGCCACCAGTTGTTTGTCCAGGCTAGCATTGGAAGTTTTCTGACTGCCATACCCGATTAATGATGACAGTTCCCTGCTATAGACTACATGAAAAGAGGTAGTGCCAATTGATATATGGTAATTCGTATTATACCAATACCCTGCTCAGTGTAGGAATTTTCCCCATTTCTTTGGAGCTTCGTTACGATAACAGCGCCCAAGTATGTCTCTAAACATTTGTTCACCGCTCTGATTGCCCATTCGTTTGTGGGCGATAGACGGTGCTTCTTCGCAAATCTATACCCTGCAAACGGAATAATTCCTTCCAAAAATGGCCAAGGAATATTTTATCGCGGTCAAATATGATGGACCTTGGAAATCCATGAAGCCTAACGACCTCCCTCATAAACACCTCCACTATTGATTCCGTCGAGAAGGGATGACATAACGACATGAAGTGAGCATACTTGCTCAGCCAGTCCACYACTACGAATATAGTATCCTTGCCCAAGGATTTCGATAATCCTTTCACAAAATCCATAGTCGTGTCCTCCCAAATTCGTTAGGGGCCAGCAACGGTTGTAGCAATCCTGCAGGAGACAATACCTCTAATTTATTGTGCTGACATACTAGACATTTCTCTGCATACTCTTTCACCTCTGCATTCATGTTAGGCCAATATAGTTCCCCTGTCGACCTTTTATATGTCCTTAGAAACCTTGAGTGCCCCCTATGACGGAGTGTGACCATGGAATGCTTTAGCCTTTCGAATGCCTCGTGGCCTGCTCCGTCCATCTAAAACCGTCCTTCTTAAGTAGTTGTGTCAACGGTGCGGAACTACTCTCGTATCGACAACAAACCTCCAAGTTACCTATTAAGCCCAAAAACTCACGTAATTCCTTCAGAGATGTGGGGCAGGGACACCAGAGCATAACTCTAATTTTCTCCGAATCTACTTCCACACCTTGCACAGAGACTCAATGTCCAAGGTACTCTACCTTATCACACCCAAAATAGCACTTCTTTAGGTTGGCGTAGAGGGATTTGTCTTTGAGGATGTTGAAGACTACTGTCAGGTGGTGAGTGTGTGTCTCTAAGTCTGAGCTGTACACTAATATATAATAAAAAAAACTAGGATAAATTTATGCAAGAATGGACAGAAAAATTTATGCAAGAATGGACAGAAAACCTAGTTCATAAGTGATTGAAAAGTTGCTGGGGCGTTGGTCAAGCCAAACGGCATGACTAAGAACTCGTAGTGCCTTCGTGCTTTCTAAATGCAGTCTTTTGAACATCCTCCTCAGAAATTCAGATTTGGTGATAACTTTGTTTAAGGTCTATCTTAGAGAAGATTCGTGATCCATGCAATCATCAAACAACTCTTCAATGATCGTAACATTGTTCGATGCCCTATAGTCGACGTAGCATCTCCAACTGCCATCCTTTTTCTTGACTAGGATTACTGGACTCGAGTATGGGCTGATTACTCGGCCTAATTATTCCTACGACTAGCATCTCACGTGGGGTCTCACATTCACTGGTTGTTCCCCTTCCTTTAGCTGAATCCCATGGTCAATTAATCCGTGGGAAGGCAGAACTTCTGACATTTGGAAAACAGAGGCATAATTTGACACCAGATCTTTAGTCTCATGCAGTTTTCATTTCCAACGATTTTCTTCACCCATATCTCCCCCCTCTGCTTGAGTAAATGCTTGTAATTCCACAAAATACCCTTAATCCTGTTTCTCCGATGAACGAATTGATCACTTGAATAAAACTTCGAGGCGTGTAAGCGAGGGGTCTTCCTTTATGGTTACTTTCTTCTAGTCTCGAGTGAACACAATGGTAAAAGCAGGTAAGTCTACCTCCATTTTTACCATCGTCTTTATAGCCATTGCATCTCTAACACTACATCCAACTCTACCAATTCCAGTGGTAAGAAATCCTCAACTACGGTTATCTCCAACAATCCCAAGACTACTCCCCGCACATGTACTTCCCCCTCACAGCTACTTTGGACTGCATGATCACCCCATAGTTGATGGTTTCTATTTGCGGTAGGTCCAGCCCCTCGACCAATTTCTGGGCTATGAAATTGTAGGTAGCCCCACAGTTGATCATCGCCACAACCTTTCTCCCTTTTATCGTCTCCCTAATCTTCATTATATTAGGCGTAGTGAAATCCACTGATAATGCACTAAGTGAGCTACATTTCATGAAATTTATATTGAAATCATTTGTTAGTTTTCATTTCTATATTACATATTTACACACAAAAGATATATTTTGTATGAATGAATAATCGAGAGGAAATGAGACATAAATGGAGCAAATTGAGAGAAAAATCATATCTTGAGCGAGTAAAGAAGGCATTATGACACTTATTGGAGCCAAAATACCCGAGAGAATAGTGCCATGGGACCCGAAAAGACATCAAAACACCTGCAACAAAGAAAGAAAATTTTTTGGTTTTTTACCTGAAAGGACAGCGCCTAGGCGCCGGTAACAACGCCGCGATGCTGCCCTATGGCGCCGTAGCACTCCAAACTTTTTTTTGTCCACCTTTTCTCATGCAATGTATGACATCATGGCGCTATCGCAACTGTTTTCCTTTTAAATTAGGTTTTTCAGCTGAGAATTTTTTACGGACTTTTGGGAGAGAGACAGGGGACAACTTGAAAAGAAAGGAAAAAGGGGCATTAAAGAGCTTAGAGAAAGGATTTTCAAGGCTTGGGATGTGGAGATTCAATTGGGAACGATGATTCAACACAACGGATTTAGTTTATTTATTTTTCCCTTGATTTTTGTAGTTTGTTATGAAACTTTCTTTGAGACTTTGTTGTTTTACATTGAATATGCATAGCAAAGTTCTTTTCTTTTAGGGATTGATGTAGCCATTAAACTTTATCAATTTATTGTTTAATTCTTTTGATTGAATGATTATAAATATTCTATTTATGTATCTCTATGCTTAATGCCTTTAATCTATGGTCATATATTGATTGATATTAGGCTTGAAATCTTATGCTAGATAGTTTAGAGTTAGAATTGGGATGCATAACTAAAGTGGTTCTAAGATCTGAAAATTTAGAAGTTCTTCAGAGGTCGTTCAAAGACCTGTTCAATAAAGTCATTACTTGTTATAGAAACTAGATAGGGATACTGGTTTCTTAATTGGTAAAAGAATTAACTTGTGTTCGGGAGAGACAGTTGAGATTTGAGAGTTCTTGACCTATAAAATTAATTACTAATTAAAGTCAGATTAGCTAAAAATCAGACATCCATACGATCACATGGATATATAGTAATATTGTTGTTGCCAATGTCGACCTTAAATATTATATAGTTACGATAACTAGTGGTGTCAAATTATTGCCACTGTCAATTCTGAATTGGCATCGCATCACCATTCACCACGCCCTTCATAGTTCATATCTATTTTTCTCAGACCTTCCATTTTGATCGAGTGTGATTCTTCTATACACTTTCCCTTTCATTTTTCTCTTCATTATATAACTCTACTTTGCATTTGCATCCCATTATTATTTTGTTCAATCGTACTACGATCACTTCCAAAGATACTCGTAATCTGCTAAAATTATCATAGAAAAAAGATTAAAATGATGACTTTTAAAAGTAAAGAATACCAAAATAGATGTTTTAGAAGCAGATGACGTAGATAAGTAGATAATTGGATGTAGGGAAAAAATTTAGAGTGCGGTATTTTGATGGAATTGGAATATGTGCATGGCATTGCATTTCCTTTATGAAAGAAACATTGTGAACAACGTGAAGCTCTTCTCATCAAGAGAGAGAGATGAGAGGCCATGTGTAGTTTTTTCTAAGTGGAAAACAAGAAAAATTAAAGCCGTCTCACTATATAATTAATAAAAAGAAACCGTAAAAATCTCACACATGTCTCTGTATATAGAAGATGATGATGATGATGGATCAGATTTCAATTAACATCCCTGGAGAACACCTTCACCAATTTGGGACAGCAGCCTTGACCATTTACTCGTCGCCCAAAGAACAAAGTAGAAACTGGTGATTCTTCATTATTTGTCTCCTCCTCTTCCTCTTCCTCCTCCTCTTGATCATCCAGTTTCCACTCGAACGACAGTCTCCTCCCTCTTTCCCTCCTGGAGCTGGTCGGCGTTGTCATCGTGGACGATGACAACGACGAGCTGGATGACGAGGAGGAAGAAGAAGGCAGGGATGGAGGCTGCAGACTGGCAGCCTTCACAGAAAGCTTGCGGAAGACATTGTTGAGGAAGTTGGTTCTGGAGGAGGACCTGCTATTATTCCTGAGGCTGAGGGGCCTGCTGTGTCTGTGTCTCGGAGAGGGAGAGAAGTACGAAGGTGGAGGCGTGAGAGGAGAGACGACTCCGCCATCATCGTCAAACTTGTCCTTCTTCTCCTTCTCCTCGTCCTTGTTCTTGGGAGTGCCCGGCTCAGACTCCCACACGAAGGGCACTGATGCCGGGACTCCTGTGTGGTAATCTTCTTCGTGATCTACACCCGACATGTCGTCTCTCGTCTTCAGGCTCTTCAGTTTCATCTTCCGAGATCTCGATCCACCAAAATCTGTGCCATTGTTATTCGTTTCCATATATTTCCTCTCTTCTTCTTAGCTTTTCAATCACGATGAGGAAGGGCGATATATCTACCAATTCCAATATCCAAATAAATAAATAAATAAATAACTTGTAATTCCCTCTTCCATACATTTTAATGATTCAATTTGTAAGGGCTCAAGTGTCATACAATATGACCCCATCTCTCTCAAATCTTGCACAATATTATATATATTAACTCCATCAGAGATGGTAGGAAACAGTAACATTACAAAGTCAGACATCAAAGACAGATTTGATAATTTAGAACATACTGTATAATATATTCAACAAGTTAGAATAATTAAAGAAAGCCATAGAACACAGAAACATGAAAGAAAACACAGGAGGTAATTATGGTAATAATGGTACCTGCTGGTGCTGGCTGCTGTATTATATATAATGGCTAGTGCTGTGTTTGCTCCATATTTCTTGAAACCTCATTCACAAAAACGTGGAATTGTTGGCATTCACAATGACATTAGAGATGGTAATCGAGTCCTCCTGTTATTGCCTCTGCCTTTTTTTCGGGGAGAAGAAATGGCAAGAGAACACCGTCCATCCCTCAAGATGATAATATATAGTAATTTCTTTCCCACCACCAATATTGGAAAACATCCTCTTTTTTCGTGGTCTCCCTCTTCCCCTATCTTATTGGGACCTCAATTTTTACCAAACTACAATTAATGGATCTCTGCAGTCCAGAGATTTTTTAGCACATCCTACTCCTACAGGATCAAAACGCACACAAATATTGTATTATATTCCATACAAATCTCCCCAACTCAATAAATTAAGTCATGAAATCAACCATGGCTTTATAGAAAACAATCTTCTAAACTTTATTCAAATTTTAAAAACAAATTTTCTAACTCGAAAAGTAGAAGATGAAGAATCAATCTTTTACAAAATTCTTTAAATCCATATGCTATCAGAAAATCATAATTGAAACCACGTTCTACAACACGAGCCTTCCGAAAGTTCTTTTCACACTTTGATGATTCCCCTGGATGGCCTTTGAAATAAAGGCTTATATATGTATATAAATTATACACCACGTTGGTCAAACAAATTTGAGCCCCGTTGCCTCTGAAAGGGTTTGAAAATGGCCCCTGCAGCAGGATACAGATATTACCTCATGCCAAAATGCATACGAGAACATGAACATGAACATGTTCTACAATCGGATAAACGTAGGAGATTTGGTCAAGTCAATAATCTCAGACCCAACAAAAGAAGTAATTCTTCTCTTGAATCGACTGTTGGAACTTGTTCTGCAGTCGGGAGATGGGGTACACACATCTATAACCTCATACTCACTAGGGGGATACCCAATATTACACCTCCCAACTTTGCTCATTGAATTCGTACTACCAGGTTTCTGCTGCAAGTTCACACCATTCCCTTCAAATTGGTCTTCCTCTCCATCTTCAATGATGATTTCAGTCTCGGACCTACCCGCAACAGTATAAGACGGAGCACACGAAGGTGGCACTCGTTTATAATCCTCAAGTTCTTTATTGTGTCCATGCATGTCATGGGACATACCCACATAGGACGGACTACACGAAGAAGGTGGCTCTCGTTCACTGTCCTCAAGTTCTTTATCGCATCCATCCGTTAACTTTTGAGGAATTTCATTTGGAACTTCTTTTGTCGATCCATATACTCGAAAACTGCAAACTTCTTCGTACTCTCTGTTGTACTCCAAGTCATCTTCATTTTCAGCTACACCTTGGTCTCCTTCAGAATAACATGGAAGGTCATCAATGGGGGAAACTTGGACCTTCATATGCTCTGGCAAACTTGGGCAACCAGCGGCATTATTCATGTACTTTGTTGAGAAGTAGTTTACAGTGATATTCAAACTACAAGGACAAGGAGAAAAAAGTAAAAAGACAGTTGTCCTTGTATGTCGTAAGTCTCTCTTTTCTAGCTAATTTGGAGTATGTTCACATTTCCAACAAATTTGACAGACAAATTTGATAGAATTATACAAGTAAGCTCATACCTGCACCAAGCTGGAAGTGTGAGCATTGTGTATGCAAGTTTAACTTTGTTGGCAACTCCAGAGAGAGACTTGAAAGTTGCAGCAGCACTTCTTACAGCCAATGACTCATTAGGGTGCTGCCACGCCCATTCAAACTGCACCCATAGTTAGAATTTATAATGATGTAAAGCCAAGAAACATCCTTCTTCTTTCAACCATAACATCAAATTCTGGCATTGTTAAGCAAATAAATCAAGACACAAGTTAAAAAGGAAGCCAGCAACACATTTGGTAAGTTCTCTTAAAAGGGTCATTGAGCTAATAGAAGGCAATCAAGAAGACGCACTATTAACTACTTCACCAGCTAAAGGCCCTTTGGAAATGTAAGCTTGGATTTGGGACCATCTTTTGACGAGTTTGAAAATTTGATATATGAGAGGTAAAATGGGGCTGTCGAGAAGTAGTACCTGGAGAGCAGAGACATTAGTGGGGAAGCCATAAATGCACAAGACCATCTCCCAAGGTCTCTTCCTTTTAGTACGCCACGCACCGCATCCAATTTCACCATTGTGCTGCCTGATTCTACGTTTTGGGTTCACTGTGAATCTGAAATTCCGTACAAACAGTCATCGAATCAGCCCACTGCAGACTGATTTACGCATTTTCTACATTTCTTAACGTTTTCCCTCAACCAGATCAAACATTAGCAGAATCAAAGAACCCAATCAGAGATGGTAAAGAAATTTCCAGCATCGGGAAGTACAGAAAGAAACAAATCCGAGCATCCAGAATTAGTAGATTAGGGTTTTTGAAACCATTATTTCAGAGACAAGACGAATAGGGGATCTGATCTGATCTATGAACACAGAGGAACAGAAAATTGTTGGAGTGACAGAGAAGTGGGAAAGATTCTAACCCGATATAGGTATGGCCTTTGTAACGAGGGCAAGCAGAAGCCAAGAGATAGCATGAGAAGAAGCCGTTCGATTCATTGCCCCTCTCTTCGTCTTCATTTTCCTCCTCTGCAACAACCATGGGTTTAGAGATTTCTTGCTTCTCTTTCCTCTTCCTCATCTCTCTCTCTCTCTATGGAAGATGAAAATTTGCCCCCAAATACAATTCGACCGTTGGCGTAAAAGGGTATTTATTATTTACCTCTACATAAATGGTATGGGAATTTGAAACCCGTTCATTACAGCAATTGGGCTGGTCGGTGATTTTACAGTTTGGCCCTAATTCAATGAAAGAAGGGGCTTGAACGTGGGCATGTCAGTCTGGCATCGTACTTCGCAGTTTTTCAGATTAGAATACGTTGATTACTAATTAATCCAACTTTGGGTTGCCCTAAATTTATTGTAAAATACGAAACGAATCTTTCTACTTTAATTTTAGGTCTTTTTCTTTTGTCCTAATCTTGAGCCTGGGAGACGAAAATAGAAGGGTTCCGATCCGGAAATCGCCGGCCAAACGGATGAACGATTCAATGATTGGCTGGCTTATCGTCTTAATTCCCAATTTTATTGATTTAACTTTGATCAAATCTACTTTCCCTTTGTCTCTCATAGAATGCTCCGCTTTACTTCCAATGGAACAAAATTCGAAGCAGAAAATAGAAATTACGAGAAGATTTGAAACCAGAAGAGTCTGCGATTATGCATTTCTGAACTTCTTAGAATTTCTGTTACAGACTTGGATGTCAACAAGAAGAGGGGTTTTACAAAAACTACTCGAGGGGAGAAGGGAAAGAAGGATTACATAATTCATTCATCCACCGAGATATACAACACAAGAAGACAAGGTGCATTCATCCAGCAATAGCATAGCAAACCTGAACAATACATTCAACCCAAACAAAACAAGACAAAACAAAACCCAGGAAGGACACACGACGTATCGTCAATCGGAACGCTTCGGAGACGATGACGACGGAAACAAATGCCTCCACAAGTAGCGGCCGCTGGCCATGTCGACCACCGTCCAGAACCCCGAAGACACCTGTTCAAGAAATCACGATCGTTCACGCACAACAAAGAAAAGAAAAGAAAATGAAAAATTCCATTAGCGTAAGAAAGAATTACAAGAACCTTGGAGGTGGAATTGGAAGAATGAGCAGCAGAGGAATCGTTGGAGTGGGCGTCGGAATTGTCGTCGGCGGCCTCGAAATCTTGAGGTTGAGATTTGAGGTTCCGGAGAACGAAGAAGCCGGCAAGAGTCGCTGAGAGAAATATCAGAATAAATCTCAGCGGACACATTTTTTTTGAACGCCTTCCCTAACCTCCGGATCCGAATGGGGGGAGAGAGATTTGTGGGGGAAGAAATTATTGGGGCAAAATGCAAATCAAGGGAGTGAAGTGAGGGAAATGTCAAAAATTGAGATGTTGAAAATGGGGAAATTTGGAATAATTTGGATGCCATGTAAGCAAGCTTTTCCACCTAACCTAACCACTCATTTTCTATTATTTGTTACGAGTAAAATAAAAATGAAAGGGCCCCAGATCAAGACAAAGAATATTAATATTAATCAGATAAGATTAGGGATTAATTGGGTTAGTGGTAACCCACAACCAAAACACTTTATACAAAACACATAAAAACAATAGAGATAGTGGTGGTTGGCTGCTATTCTTTATTCAATGAAAAGAAAGAGTCAGCAGCCATAAGTAATAAAGCTTGGCTTGGCTTGCGTCTAATGGGTTGAAAAGTCAAAAATGGTGCACCAACTCAAACTGTCAATGTCATCATCCATTTATGAGCATAAATCAAGGGCAATTTTAAGATTTGCATTTGCTGCATCAAAGAAATTTACTCCAAAAAATACAATAAATAAATGAAGAATTCCACTAAAGTCCATTTCTTCTGCTCGGCAATAGATGACATCGGCAAAAGGAAGGACAAATTGAAAAGGCAAGGCCGCGCCACAAGGACAACAACAACGAGATTGACCCTTGAGCGCAAGTGCCGGATTTGATCAGAAAGCAGCCTGTGGGAATATTCTTCTTCCAAACAAGACAACGGTTCAAATTTCTTTTGGCCAAAATTTGTATTGATCAATTGTGCACAGCACACTCATCAACAGACAAAAATGTTGAGCCGAGTTGCAGCTCTTGCTGGAGGTTTTACGACCTCGAGACAGGGACTTCGTTGTACTTCCAAGTTAACTGCCAAACTTCAGCTAATGAGAAGAAAATCCATGACCCAACACAAAGAAGCTTTATGATAATTAACTATAGTGAACTTTAGCAATAATATGGCACCTCACCTAGACTTTAGCAAACCGAGCAATTTTAGCCAGAACCGTTCTTAAACTTCGGATGCCAGCTCCTGATTTCGAACTTACCATCATCTGAAATCATAAACCACATGTCCAGATCTATTAGATTTCTCGTCATAGTAAGGCAAATTCTAGAGAAAAATTAACTCAACACACAGTTCTCTTCGTACCAGAGGTTGAACAATTGACTTGTTTGCCTTGAAGCTCTGTAAAAATGTCATGGCCAATAGTTATCAGTCTCAAAGAAGAAAGAAACAAAGAAACAAAGAAACAAATGTTGATTTTAGAACAGATATTTTAGTTGTATGGGGAAGAAAACCTCTTCAATTTGCATTGCTCTACGTGCCACATCCACTGGGAAGACCGTATCGGTCTTTGTCAATACAATTTGGTATTTAGTTTGAGATCTATCACAACGAATTTATAAGTCTCAGTACATCACACTTCCAATGGAAACTTAATTCTTCAAATAGTGAAATATACAGAAATTTCAGTGCATGTGAAGTCAACCATATGGAGGGACTAATGAGTATGCCAACCTGTGGGAACATACATGATATGTCCCACCAATCAAAAAATAGAAAAGTAATTCGCATTCACTGTCGCTTGGTACCTTTCCATCAAATCAATGAGCTCTTGATCCCTTGGCTTCATCCCCCATTTTGTATCGATAAGTAGGCACACCCGTTTAAGACCAACTCTTGTGGCAACATACTCTTTTACCTATAATGTATAAGTAATCATACAATCGGTTGGCTGACTACCACATGAAATAAAACCACCCAGAAAAGAAGACATGCATGTAATTATTAAACAATATATCAAAACTTCTCCATGTTGTTAGTAGTTTTTTCCTGCGTAACATCGTTAGTTTAAACTCCAGTGGCTCAGCAACAACCACAAGATCATCACAACACACAGATTCCAGATCTGTTTAAACAAAGTTTACCGTGACATATGAAAATTTCAAAACTATAAATTGGTATCATAAACAATTCAGATTTTGGGGCAGATAAACTTAGAATTGAATTCTTACCAACTCCTCCCAAGCATCCTTAACTTCCTCTTTTGCATAAGCAAAGCCATATCCAGGTAAATCAACCATAGATAGCTTTGATCCCAGATTAAAAAAATTAATGGTCTGCACATCAACAGATATTGCCAAGTGTCATCAAACATATCCAACACAATATGTAGTCAGAATTGCATACGTCAGCACCTGAGTAAGACCAGGTTTATCAGACGTTCGTACAACACCCCATTGTCTTGTAAGGGCATTAAGCAGTGATGACTTTCCGACATTTGATCTTCCTAGCATGAAGGAAGATTTAAGGCAACATCAATCAGTCTTCCACGAAACTAATGTCCAAACAAAAGTTCCTTATTATTGTAGCAAACAAAGTATCCAACAAAATTCCAAAATTTTGCATAGGAACTATAGTAGCACCACGAGACTAGAACCAGACATGGTTATGTGGGTTAGAAAAATAAATCCCAAAAGTAAAGCAATCTATTTTTTTTTTTGTTTTTTTTTGTTGTGTGTGTCTATGCGAATGGATAAGGGGGGGAATAAAGCGAGAGCCTTCCAATATTGTTTAGGCCCTGGTATGAAGTTCCAATATTATTTATACTGATAAGTTATAAGTTATAACCTCCTCCCTGTTAACTCATAGCATAATTTGCTCAAAATTTTCAAAGACAAGCTAACTATCATAAGAAATATATTACTTAGTCCATAACAACAGTGCACTACTGCAACTTCTATAAGTGAAAGAAAGCAAATTACACAAAGAATTATTAGTTAAAAGATGAATAACTTTAGAAGATAGAACCAAGCATGTATAGAAGGATCAAAATTTCAAATTATCTACCAGCAAAGGCAATCTCTGGCATGTCAGGGGGTGGAAAAGATGATGAAACTTTTGCAGCAGCAAAGAAGGTCAACTTATTCCTGAATATCTGTGTATTACAATTAGTTCCCACTAGGAATATGATACGGAGGATTGTGGAAAGAAAAAAGAGCAGCATTTATGTTGCATATATATCGTATACATACATTTTCTTCAATTCTTTCTCTCTCAGCACTGTTAGTAAAGGGGATATTATCCAACGGAGCAGAGAGATCGGTGTTGTAGCCTGCTCTTCTAATTTCAATCAAGCGCCTACGGCCCAACAACTGTTAACAATGAAATAAAATAATCATGAATGGTAATATTAATGGGAAAACAGAATTAGCAACACATAGCTTTGAAAATTACATTATCTTCCACGAATGAAAGGATAGATTTACTCGGCTGTATTGCACGGAACTGAGCATTCTTTGACATCTCATCTTTTTTCTCTGAACTAGCTTTCTCCTCCCTGGCATTTTCTGGAATTAAAAGAAGGGCCTCTAAGGAAAATAAAAACAGCAATATAGAAGTGCAAGCTAACTGAAAGGAGACGAGAAATTATTAAGCTTAGCCGATTGAAAAATGTAGTTACATTGCATCCTAGAAATTCAATCGGATTGGGTAGGAAATTGAGGCAGAGATATCAACTCACCAGTGATTATCCCATCATCCAGCCGCTTATTAGAGAGATCATATGGGTCTAAACGAATTACCCGCTTCCTCTTTTTTGGCTGATCAATTAGTAACTCTGGATCACCATTTGCACTTCTTTTCTTGAAAACTCTTCTCTTTGCCGGATCTGGAGTTACACCCCATGATTTGTTCTCAGTGGAATCCAATGTCTTGCTCGAATCTATGGTGTTTTCGGAAAATCTCTTCCTTGTGGATTCCACATTATAGTCTTTTCCCTCCCTGATTTTTCCTTTTTCATATGACACTTTCGGACTTCTGACACCATTTTCTTGCTTTTTAAGAGAGAATTTTCCTTGTAAACTAGCATGGTTTAAACTCTCGTCTCTGCTCTTTCCTACTACTTCAGCATCATTTCGTCTTCTAGAAAGAGACTTCCTCCTGTGCGTCGCCACATCAGTGAATGGCGTGACCTTCACATCACTATCTTGGCCACCATAGATTCTCTGTCTTTTTACATGAGCAGTTGCAGGCCTCAGTTTTGCCTTCCGAGCAGCCTTTTCGACACTCCCTGTTCCTGCAATCGTGTCACCATCTCTTGTTCTCCTATCGAAGTTCTTCCTTCCAGGCGCCTTTCCAACCGCAAGCTTGAGTTTCTTCTTGAGCCTAAGCCCCAAGCTGGGCTCTTCAGACATTGTCTAGCAACTGTCTATAATCCTCAACAGAAATTAGCAAACAAATTCTTTTGTATGACACAGCGGAATTGAGAAAAAATATTTACTTTTAAAAGCTATGTTGCATATGCGAGATTGAATAAAGCAGAAATTTAAGGGTTCCAAAGAGTTTAGCGAAGAGCATTCGCACTGCGTAGATGAAAGAATGAAAAACCTACACTTTCTAGTCTCTAGCCCTTCTGTTCAGCAAATTTCCTCGCCTTCTTCCTCGAATTTCAGTGTCAAGTCTTCACACTACGGGGGTTGCTTCCGTTTCGCACAGGCACAGCCCTATGCTCTCCCTCTCGTCTTTACACGGGCTTTCCAGTCGTGGCCCATGCCCAATTGCCCATAACCCATGATTTTTTTCTTTCCGGTGAGTTACACAAATTAAACCTTTCTTACTTTTCTAATTACACAAATTACAAATTCTGGTTCGCAATTCTACAATTTAATTATGTATGATAAACAAAAAATTATGAATTTTTTTTCTTTTCTTATTTTGGTCACGAGACTCGCAACATTGCCACGACAAACAACTAAGTGTTCTTCACGCGTTAGTTACAGGTAACTCTACTCAACCACAATACTAAGGAACTTCAGCCCCATCAAACTTGTACTGAGCAACATATAACAGTGCACCCAGACTCACAAGTACCACAGAATGACTCATCGTGGCACTAACCAAACTGGAGCATGGTACAACAGCTTCCACACAGCCCCACAACTGGTGGCAATCCCCTGCCAACTTAATCCTTCTAACCACCTTGATGCCACCTACTGTGACAAACCGCTTGCACCACCTGCTGTGGCAAATATGCTGCAACGACACTTCTCAATTTGCAGCTTCCACACACATTATCTCGTTAGGCTGGCGCTTCTTCACTCGAGCAAACACTAGCCTCTGCAACTTCTTTACAATGTCTTCTACTCTATGCTCGTCATGCAACCTGGACCATTCTCTTGAGCATACCTGCCAGCCCGCATTATCCTATAGTCTATAAATTTAAAGGACACATGCTCATGTGTTGAGCACAACTTGGGACAAGCAACCCATTATCTCGTTACTTTCTTTCTTCGAACGGCTCTTTACTCAGCCACACTACCCAYCGCCTATGGACTTGCTTGATGCATCTCTTGCACTTGACTAGCGCATGTCGCATTGACCCTCGACTTGTCTACTTGTAGCCACTAACATTATCCATCTGACGACAATGGCTCTTTCAAAGAAACCCTACCTGGTTCGCGTTGGGTTTCTTCTCTTGTCCAACGAGACAACAAAGCCCTTGGCGAATGAGCTTGGTTCTTGCTTCGTGACGGGTTGGACTTCCCCGAATCGAATGTCTATCGACGACACCATTGACTCATAAGAAGTCTGGCTTCACCCATTTTACTACCTCTGATACTAACTGACGCAACCATCCTACCAAAAACTGGCACTCTTGACACACTTGCGAAGTCTTCGTTTACGCACTTGGGTTGTCAAACTGTCCGACTAAACACACAAAGCATGACTCTGATACCAAATATCACAGTCATACTTTTTTCCAACCATGCGGTGCAATGATATATGCACGATCATGGTCAGCCTTACGGGGAACTGTAGCCCTAATATATTTTTCACGCCCTTTGTGACTTCGTTAGACCTTAGGCGAAGTTCTTTCTTCCTCGATTGAGCTTTGCTGAATGTGGAACTTTGCTTAGTCTCGGCAATGCACGCCATCTGTACGTGCATTTCAGCTCTTTCACGACTCTAGCCGGCTTGCCCCTACTCTAGGCTAAGCCCTACGACTCAACCTTACCTCAACGCTAGGCCAAGGTCCTTTGAACTCAGTGTCGCAACTCAATTCCAACCATCTTGGTTCTCGACCACTCGCCCGTCCCGCTCTTACATGGATCCAGGACCTTACCAAGATTAACGGGGTCAGAACTAGCTTTAAACGCCAACCAGTTATTACCGGGAGATTCATGCCGCATAACTATGCTTTTCGGGCTCATCAGACGCCTCTAAGATCATTCATGCCGAGAAACTAGTCAGTAACGAGCTAAATGACCTTATCGAATACTGTCAGGGTGAGTCTTGTCGAGATATGGGCAAGGAGTGACTAAACTTGGCAACTGGGATGAGTCTTGCAGCTTATCGGGGCAAGATTAACTTTTTCTCACTTACTGAGTGTCCACCGGTACATTAGGATGCCACCCCCAAGCATCGAGATGTCATCGGACTTCGTTGCTTGCTCAGACACACTTATCCAGAACCATCCATGGGCTTGCATTTACGATCAGGGTCTTACATCCATCCATCCGGACACTATCGAGGCACGATGACTCTTGT